TCGAGGAACCCGGATCTGCCGAGCTCCAGTAGAGCGTTTTGGTATACGGATGCACCCAGAAGAAGCGCTTGTGCCGCCGCTCGCCATACCCCTTGCCAATCGCCTTGCGCGTATACTTGTACAAGAACTCGCCGATCATCGTCTGCGTGATCGCATGGATGATGGTCGGGTCCGTCGACGAGTTGGGCCCAATCGTGCGCGCAGAGACGTCCGCGTCCGCAGTTGTATTCGCCACGCGGTTGTTCGGCGTCAACGGCGCCCCACGCACCGCCTGCTGCTGCATCACCTGCGAGCGGCTCAACACAAACGGATTGTGGTCGGACGACATGGACGAGCGCGGCGACACCCGGCTGCGATCTGACACCAGCGACGCCGTCGACTGTTCCTTGGGGTGGCGGAATCCCGAGCCGCCTGGCGTGAGTACGTGCTGGGCGTACGCCGCCGCGTTCGCGGCGGAGCGGAAACTACTCGTCGACGGCGGTTGGCGTAGGCTGTGCTGCGCCGATGGCGGCATGCTCGACCCGTGCTGACGCACATAGCTGCCCTTGCCGGTGCTCCCGGGAAGCATCAGCATGGAGCCGAACGTGGGCGTCGTCGCGCGCTGGATGAGCTCCGGCGGCGGCGGGGACGACGGACGCGGAGGAGGCATGTCATGGCGCCGCTCGGGGATAAAGTTGGGCGGCGGCATGCTGTTGGGGGGCGGAGGGAGGCGCGGGGGAGGCGGTAATGACATGGTAGGCGGGCGCGTCTTATCCACGACCGGTACGGGCGCCTCGCTCGATGGGACGCGCGAATGGAAGGGCTCGTCGTACACCGATGAGATGGCCGAGTCGATAGACTGCCTGCGGTCGTCCGGGTAATTGCGCGTCCGCGTTCCTGCACCGGACGTCTCGCCGGAATTCCGCAGCACCGTTGAGGCAGGGGCGGCGGAAAGGCCTGCTGCTGCGGCGGCTGCCACGACCGGCGCCACGAACTGGAATGGCTGCCCAGCCACGCCGACGCGATACAGTCCAGGCGCCGCTGCCGGTGACGCAGGTACCGATGCTGGTGTTGGTGCAGGTGCTGGTATGACGGCGGGCGGCGGAGGACTCCACTCGTCCGTCTGAATCGACATCTCCTTGACCTCCGGCTTCGGCGGCAGCTCCACCTTCACGGGCTCCTGGACCGGGACGGGTACAGGTGCGGGGAGTGACTGCGGTGCTTCCTCCACCACGGGCGTTGCGGGGTCCACGCCCGTATCGACATACGTCCGTGCGGGAGTTTGCGCCGCCGCATAGAACGACGACGGGCGGCGCATACCCGAAGCCTTGATACTCTCCTCGCCCTCGCTCCCGCCGTCCGTCATCGTCAGCACCGAGTGGAAGTCCTCACGCGACGACGCAAAGCCGTTTCGCGACGACCCGACGCCCGCGTGCGCCGAGTGGAAGCCCGCTGAGCGCGCGGAATGGAAGTCGTCGCGCGACGCGGACGCAGCTGAGTGCAGGTCGGAGCGCGAGGCCAGGCGCAGGCTCTGCGGTGCGTCCTGGTAATCCTCCATGTCCGTCTCGCCCTCTGTCTCCGTCTCGGTCTCGTCCCCGTCGACGGATTGGGCGAGAAACGCGCTCCTGCGTGGCGTGAGTGTGTTGCTGTTGTTTCCCGGCGTGAGCGTCGTGCGCCGCTCGCGCACCGGCGACGTTTGCACACCGCCGTCGACACCTGCCGGCAGCGCGCGCTCTACTTCTACGATCTTCTCGACCTCCACGATCTTTTCGACAATCTTCTCGACCGGTACCTCCACCCTCTTCTCCACAATCCTCTCGACAATCTTCTCGACCGGCACCTCGACGATCCTATCCACCGGCACCTCCACCCGTTTCTCGACAATCTTCTCGACAATCTTCTCCACCGGCACCTCAACCACGCGCTCCACGACGACCTCCCGTACCTCAGGCGGCGGCGACTCGACTACCTCCGTCTGGCAAGCCATCTCCGCCGTCTCCCACTTCCTCATCATCTTCGAACTGCGCCCGCGCCGAGCTCTGCGGCGAGCACGCCGGCAGCTTTGATGAGACTGTCCGGCCTCCCAGCCCCATTCGCACGGCCCCTTCCCCGCCCTCGTCTCGGGCGAGCACGTACCGCGGGCGCAGGGGAGACAGATGAGTGCCGCAGCGGCGACGATATCGACGGCGTACGCGAGAGGTGGTCCCCGAAGGTGAACGCGGGGTCCATCCCATTCCCGTCGACGCTCTGCCGCCGGTCCTCCTGCTGCTCCTGCTCGGGGAACAAATCGTCCTCCTCGTCCTCCCCGTCTTCCTCCTCTGCGGAGACGGAGCCGGAGCCCTGGAAGAATGCAGACTCCTCTGGGTCCGCGTCGACGTCCGTGAGACGCATTGCAGGGACGGGTGGCGCGTCCGAATCGACGGCGAAGCTTGAGCCGGAGCCCGCGTCGGACGCGGCGGGCGAGGCGGCTGCCATGCCGAGGCGCTGCACGAGCGACATCCCGCGCCCGCCCCGTCCCCTTGCGCCCCGCGCTCCAGCGCGGCCCCCGCCGACCTTGAACGGCGTCAGCCGCAGACGGCTCTTCTCCGCCACCGTCGCGTCCGCCTCGTCCGCATCTTCGTCCTCATACTCTCCGTTCTCGATCCGACTCGCCATGGGGCTCGGCATTGGGCTGCCCCGCCTTCCCTTCCTTCTCGCGCCGCAGCGTCCCTTTGAGCGTGCCGATCTGGCGCTGCGCATGCGCGAGCTTCTGGCGAAGCACCTCGAGCTCGCTCTCCTGCCCCCGGCTCGGGATCGGACTCGCATCGGGCGAATCGGGGTCTGCTTCCCCATCGAGGTCATCGAACACCGCTCGCCGGCGCGTCGACGCGCCGCCCGTCGCGAACACGTCGTCCTCCCCGTTCGCAGGCGTGAGAAAGTCGTTGCTGCCACCATTGGGAGTCACGGGGGATCCGAATTGGGAGGAGAGGAGCCCGCGGCGCCCTGCACGCGCAGCGTCGGCCTTGAGGCGGTCGACGGCGCCCTGGAGGTCGCTCTTGTCGCGTACGAGCCCCGCAGCGGCCTTGCGGTGGGTGGCCACATCCGCCTCGTGCTTGGCCTTCATCTCGTCCACGACACCTACGAGCCGTTCTGCCTCATGCTTGGCCGTCTCCGCGGCCTGCAGGGACGAGGCAAGCTGCGCGGCAAGGCGGTCCGCTTTGAGGGAAGCGGCGGACTCGGCGGCGGTGGCAGCGGAAAGCTGCGAACGGAGGTCCTGGAGGGTGACTTCGAGGTTCCAGTTCTCTTCTTTGTACTTATCTAGAAGCCCCAAAATGCAATTAGTGGGTGCGCGTAAGGGTGGCGTAAAGGGGACATGCCGGCACTGGATTCCTGCTGGCGAAGGGCAGCGCGAAGGCTCTCGACGCTCTTCTCGAGGTCATCCTTTTCCTCCTTCATGTCCTGAATTGCCTTGTCGCGTTCGCCGAGGAGGCTCTGGAGGCGGCGGACCTCGGTGAGGAGCCCCGAGCCGATTTCGAAGGCGAATTCTGTCCATTAAAGGTTAAGAACGGTTGAAAGGCCGGGGAGTCAGGGGAAGCGAGAACTGACCGACGTCGTCTGCGCGATGGGCGGCATTCTTTGCGCGGCGGGACTGGGCAGCGGCGGTCGTCGCTGGTGTTGCTTTCGCATTCGGTCGCTCGTGCTCCTCGGGAAGCGAGAAAGCTGCTGGTGGCGATGGGGGTCGCTGTAGCCTGATGTATGAGGAAAATGTGCGAATATAATCCGCATGCCACCCACTCTTGAACCAAATGCACTGGAAAGTTGGGCATTTTCACTGTCCCAGGCCATAAGCGTCTCTGCAAGCTCCCTATATCGGTCCCGCGCCTCTTCGTCGACATGCTCATCGTCGAGCTTGTCTGCGTCCATCTCCTGGAGCTGTCGTATGCGCTCCTCGAGCTCCATCTGCTGCGCAAGGACCCGTTGGCCAAGGGTGCCCGCCTGCTGAAGCTGCTTTTCCTTTGAGTCGAGGAGGGATTGGAGGTGGTATTTCATGTCGCCTGCAGAGGAGAAGGGAGTGGTCATGGGAGCGTCCAGGCCATCCGATGAAGACGCCATGGCGAATCCTCAAAGTAAAGGTTATCAAAGCGGTCGCGTTCGAGCAAGGTTGCTTATTTTCCCGCGATCACATGCAGTTAGGATCATGTCAGCTCGTTGCCACTGGTATAAACATGGCAAAACTCGTCCAGAATCCAAGTATGGAAAGTTACAAAATGATGAGCAGCGAGAGAATTAAAATCCCCGTCCAATCTGTTGCGTTGGAAACATCACTAACGGAAATGGCATACATAAGGGGAACGTCAGCGGCGAGTTGACCCGTCGCATGATTGCATCAATCAGATCTTTGCTCCTCTCTCAACCCTACACAGCGACCAAGCACGCTCTCGTCATGGGATATCAGAGGAAACTCTTCAAACAATTTTGAACTTTTGCGATGTTTACACCGTTCTTGTGGTCGACAGGATACGTCGATTTAAAGGGTTACCGCGTTTTCTCAACGTACATGTCGGACGAATCAATATCTCCATATGCATCATTTGACGCTCGAAAAACTCGTCTGGGTGGACCTGACGGATAATCCTCAATGGAAAGGCTCCGTAGACTACCTGTCGCTGTTGGACATCCGGTCCAAATCTCAAAGGGCATGTTGCTCTTGTCAAGAACTTATTGACTGGTCTCACCAGTAGGACTGCGCCATCAATCCCAACTCCAACGCTTCTGGTTGAACGTCCCCGTCCTGACCATGGTAAAATCATAGTCATGGTACTGAGTTAATATTTCTCCGATTGCACGTTGCCTTGGCATCTCGACGTACAGCGGGACCCTGCTCTCAAGGAAAATGATTCAGTAGTAGTTGCCTACTTTGAATAGTGAGTACTGCCTGAATTTACAAATCTCCTCCACGGATTAATGCAAGATGAGTGTGAATGCTGGCGTTGGTACCCTGTAAGTCACACTTATTGAGCATTTATCCCGTCGTCTAAGACGGGGACTTAGTGTAACGGTAACACACGCCACCGACAGAAGCCACCAGTACGGTGCGGGCCTGGCCAGCCTACACTCGAGCTGAGAATTAGCGTGTGGGGCGAGCCGGAGGTTCGATTCCTCCAGTCTCCTGTTTTGCGAATTTTTCTTTTTGACGTCCAAACGGAATTCGGAATCTGAGTAGGCCCGTCACCATCTTCGTGGCCCTTTCATTATTTGATCAATATTTCGGTCGATTTACTCGATGGACCCTGATTTCTGGCACCTGCTCAGACTGTATTAGTTGGCACAACGATATTTCGGGTCATTTTAACAGGGGCTAAATCTGGCGAATTTGTGGTACCACCGCTAGATTCCTCCCTTTCTTTGTCCTTTGAGGATTTAGACCACAAATCCGAGATTCTAATTTCCAGGCGGCTGGGAAGCCATCGGTTTCCCGTCATTTACTCAATCCGGACCAAGACACCAATTTTAATCGACTGGGCGCCATCTTTTTGCCCTTGATTTGCTGTACACCACTGAAGGAAATTCGAACCACAGCATACCAAATGGGAACGGGTATATCCGTCGGCAAGTGACCCGCATGATTGCATCAATTCTCTTGAATGATGGACAGCGAGTCGTACTAGTTCAAAAGCCCTCTTGTCGTGCGCGTGCGCTACCTAGCCGACTCCGAGAGCTGAGGTCTGAACGCGGCGATCATCAATCCATTGCATCTTGTCAAATTCTTGGCCGCCCGGCGCCAGGCTTCAAGCTCTGCAGATCTGATCTTACCCAGGCTCACAAAAGGCTTGAGCAAAACATACACTCAACACTCGTACCATTCGGAGTAATATATCGTCGGAAGCCATCGTGGTTAGTATCTTTGACGCATCTCGTCTCCTTGCGTCGCGGGAATCAGGACTAATTCCCGACGCAGACTTCATTCCCCATGCAATTCGAAGACCTCTCAGAAGACGATCTTCGATCGATTTTGAGCTTTTGCGATGTTTACGCTGTTCTTGCGGTGGGCAGGGTCGGTCCATTGATCTCAATTATCGGCGAATCTCACGCATAACAGACGAATAAATATCTCCGTCGCCTAACCCTCGAAAAACTTGTCTGGGTGGATTTGGTAGAGAATCTTCGGCGCAAGGGATTCATAGACCACTTGTCCTTGCCGGACATCCAGTCCCGATCTCAAGAAGCGCTCGTAGCGCTTGTGAAGCGCTTGTTGACCGGCCCCGTCAGTTGGACTGCCCCGATAATCCCTAAGCCGTCTTTCATGGCGCGGTTTAGATCGAAAACGGATCGACCGCCTCAACAGCAGGCAAAAATCTCCAAACAGTTCCTTCTTCATCCCTCCTGTATTACCGACTATCATGGCAGACCTCTTCCTGGCGGTGAATATGTCCTGTTCTGCAATCGCACTCTTCAATGCTGGAGCGTGCTACACGACCAGCTGGTCTGGTCGTACGAGACACCACTTCCGAGTTTCGAGGTTATGGACTTTGCCGCCGAAGTGCTCCATGGAGGTGATACAGCGAACATACTCATCTGGGAAACACAAACACCCATGGACCATGATCCGAAAGCGTGTGTTTTTTCATGTAGAAGTATATTTTCCCCTACTCACTATGAATCAGGCTTATCCATATAGTGAATCTGAATCTTCGGACAGGGACGTCAACAATCCTTCGTACTAACTGCTTACCCGGGTGCAAAAATCCCTCTTTTGTCCGTTATTTGCTCAAGAATCTGTGGCAACATGGCTTACATCGGCTGGAAGGAAGGAAGTTATTACGAGGACCATTGCATCCTGATGGATTGGCAAAAGATGTTGCACCTAAAACTGGCCGGCGAGGTATTTCTAATTTTGAGACTTTCACGGCCAAACTCATCCTTCCCATGCAGCCCGGAATGTTCGTTAACTTGATTCCTGACCACGTCCTTGTCATGATGGCCAAGCCATCTGGAACGTCGGAAATCAGGGTTCTCAACGCCGCGACCTTTTCTCGCCATTGGCGCCATACCACCGACGCGTCCGAGCTTGACATTGTCCCTGTAATAGAACTCGAGACGGTCATCCTCGAAAAAATCCCATTTACCCGTGCTCACCCACGGACAATGGTTCACGTAGAACTGTGCACATACGAGTCCCCAGTGGAGGAAGGCACGTATCGGGTCTGGGCCCATTTGGTATCAAGACGATATTCTTCTACTGGTCGCACAAACATTGCACTGGCTTATAGCTATACCCTCTCACTTCCAAACAGGATGCGAGATGGAATAATATGGCACCAGAGGACAGCCCACACTGCAGACCACGTGTATGGTGTGCGCGGCATATCTTACTCTGGCCACAAACTTGCATACTCCGTTCAAAATCAGCAGTTGACCTGCCGGCTTTCTCATCCTGGAAATCCTAGTCAAGACGTTGAACTTACTCTTCCTATACCTGCACCTTACCCATTCCCCTTCATCTCGACGTACAGCGGGGCCCTGACTTTCTTGGCAAATAGTTTGGTAATAGTTACCTACTGCAAATAGTGCGTACCCGAATCTACAATGTTTCTCCAGATGGCCGTGGATGCTAGGTTTTTTATGAACCCGATCAGCCACATTGAATGTTCATCCCACTGCCTCCATCGGGGACTTAGTGTAGCGGCAACACACGCCAATGACAGAAGCCGCCAGTATGGTGTAGGCCCGGCCAGCTTGCGCTCGAGCTGAGAATTAGCGTGTGGGGCGAGCCGTCTCCGTCATCTTATTTTATTTTATTGGACTTCCAAGAACTCGGTGTTGCGTTAAGTCACAGACACGGCGTGTGGTTATGCGTAACCCGTTCTGTAGTGGACCCACGGACATGGCAGACCGTAAAAAAAGCAATAGTAAAGACCGAAAAACGCGCCTCGCAGAGAGTCCACTAGGATCAGTCTGAAGGCCTCTGGCGGTGATCCCGAACCTCACAGCTAGTCCAGATATCTGTGCAACTGACCAATCTGCCTACTAGTAATTATGATTGCTTGCCCATACAGTTTTAAATGCAAGATATAATGGGACGGTCTTCCCACTTGTCGCCAGACGACTGCCTCTCGCCGCGCCGCTCGGGAACTATGTGAAGCTGCCTATATACTGAAATCTGGCTCTCGAGTCTCGAAGTTGACACGAATTACTACCGCAGGCCTCCTGTAAAATTTAGTATTCCCACCTGCCGTCGGATTAGCTCGGCGCGGGTGCATCTTCAGAGTGCGAGTTGGCTATGCAGAGCGAGTGCTATGGATCATCATATTATCCGTTACGACGGAATATTTTTTCCACCGTTCTTCTAGAATGACAGGTCTATTCCACTCACCATTGCGCTTCATTCAGCTCCTCCGTTTTCTCGATGTTGAGATTGTGAGGAAAACTCTTACCGCTGTGATAATCGAATTAATCTCACAAAGGTCAAGTGAATCAACTTGGGGTCCGCTCTCGACGGTCTGGCAGTAAGTATCTCCTTCTGGAATTTTTAGTCTGCGTTTAAACCGCGATCCTGACTCGAGACAGCTTTCTAAATCTGACGACACAATAGCCGAAGTGACGAAAATCTCGGAGGATTAGCGGTGGCGGCGTTCTCTCCCAAAATTACATGGAGTTCCAAAAACCGCCCGAGTCCGCTTGGCCTTGGTGAGAAATTCGAAGAATCGCGCTGCAATCTGTGAGCGGCCCGCGAGGGTGCCGTACTTATCGCAACTTCAGAGTGGAGAGAGTCTATACTGCCTCCGACGTCATCGCCGAGTCCAAGGAGGAGGGCCACAGAAGAAATTAACTTGTCTGACAGCGGGAATGAATGACTTGCCAACGGGCGCTTTGGATCACAGTGATCCTGACAAGCGAAAATTGCGGGCTTCGTAGAGGGCGTCGGTACTCAAGTGTTAGGTGCACCACACCGGATGCCGCGCCGTCTGTAATCTGTGAGCGGACCGCAAGCGTGCCGTTCTTATCGCAATTTCAGCGTGGAGGGAGTCCATACTGCCCCCGACGTCTTCGCCGAGTCCAAGGGAGGAGGACCGCAGAAGAAATTAAAATTAAATCTCTGACAGCGGGAATGAATGACTTGCGAGTGGGTGCTTTGGACCGCAGTGATCCTGACAAGCGAAAATTGCGGGCTTCCTAGAGGGCGTCGGTCAAGTGTCGGGTGCGCCACACCGGATGCCGCGCCGTCTTGGTGGACGTCGTGCATAATATAATACGGCAATGCCGTTGGATAGCACCCGTGCCATCCGTGGCAGAGGACAGTGGGAATGCTCTTGAACTTGCATACAGTATAATTTTTTGCAAGCAAGGCACTGCATAGCGGCGGAGAGTTGGACCGCCTTTCAAAGTTCTCCTCTTCTTTTGGGGGTTCAACGTGGCGGTGAGAGAGAAACGGAGCAATCGCGCAACTAACTCACGGCCAAACTTGGACACACAACGCGTCGCGTTGATCCCACTCCACCACAAGCTTCTCCCGCATAACCCCAATTATAAGTATGCGGCCTTCCAGCTGCGTCCCGAATACCTGTCTTCGGAGTCTTTCTTGGTGAGCCAAGTGACTGCGTGCAAGTCTCTGACAGGAATCGATTACTTTGGCACCCGAGTCGTCCCACACTCCACAGCGGCTGCAATGCTCACCAGTCAGACTGGACACTGAGTGGACTTGTCAAAAGAAAGCTGCTTGCATGTAATAGCATGGCGGGTGAATCTCGACCGGCTTTTGGGGGGCGCTTATGTAAATCGCAGCCTCGCGTTGTGTTGTTGACCATGGCGATTCTCCGTCTGTGCTGAGACCTGTCATTGCAGAAAGTGGGGTGCTTTCGACTGCTTGATCCTGGGTCCAAGATGCCACCAAGTTGGTTCCATAGCACACGATTTCCACGCCGATCCCACCCTTCTCATCCAAAAACGGAATTCGGCCGCTGTCTTTCTCAAACCTCGGTAATTATTTAATTCGTTTCAGAGGCTCTCGACATGCACGCATATGGTCTGGACTAGCGTCCTTCACAAGCTTGCAAGAGGTGACGAAATTCTGCCTCTCACCGTGGGCTACGCCGGCAACCGTTGAACTCTGAAGCCGTGTCCGGAGGTTGTTTTTTGCGTGCTGCATTCCATCGAAACGAGGCCCGAACACA